TTTGTGATTTTTTAAATTAATAAATTTTTGTTACAGATGTTGCTGCTTTTTTCCCCATTGACACCCTCCTTCCCATAACCCCCCACCCCATCTCCAGCTTTGTTGTTTATATCCATCAGTAATGTGTACACGCATATAAGTTCTGTGGTTTATCTCATCCCTCTGTGGTTTATCTTACCACCTCGCCCCTCTCTTCTTAGGTTGTCAGTCTGAACCCTACTTCCATGTCTCTAGGTCTACCTTATTCCTAAGACTATTATGTTCATTATATTCCACAAATAAGTGAGATCATGTGATATTTGTCTTTTTTTGCTTGGTTTGTTTTGCTTAGGATAATACTCTCCAGGTCCCTCCAAGTCATGTCAAAGGATAAGAGATCTTTCATTCTTACAGCTGTATAGTACTCCATTGTGTATACGTACCACTGCTTTTTTATCCATTCGTCAACTGATGGACACTTGGGCTGTTTTCAGATCTTAGCTATTGTAAATAGTGCTGCTATGAACATGTGGGTACATATATTCTTTCTGATTGGTGTTTCAGGCTTCTTAGGGTATATCCCTAGAAGTGGGATTACTGGGTCAAATGGAAGTTCAATTTTTAATTTTTTGAGGTAACACCATATTGTTTTCCATAGTGGCTGCACCCGTCTGCATTCCCACCAGCAGTGTACTAGAGTCCCCTTTTCTCCACACCCTCGCCAACACTTGTTGTTTGATGATTTGTTGATGGCGGCCATTCTGACAGGTGTGAGGTAATACCTTATTGTTGTTTTAATTTGCATCTCTCTGATGATTAGTGATGTTGAGCATTTCTTCGTATGTCTCTTAGCCATTTGTATGTCCTGTTTGGAGAGGTGTCTATTTAGTTCCTCTGCCCATTTTTTAATTGGGTTCTTTGTCTTCCTTTTGTTGAGTTGTATGAGTATTCTCTATATATTGGAAATTAACCCCTCATTTGATATATCATTGGCAATTATGCTCTCCCATACAGTGGGTTGCATCTTCATTTTGATGATTGCATCTTTTGCTGTGCTGAAGCTTTTGAGTTTGATATAGTCCCATGTGTTCATTTTCTCCTTTGTTTCTGTTGCCTTAGATGATGTATCAATGAAAATTCTGCTGCATATGATGTCTGAAATATTGTTGCCTTATACACCAGTTTCTAATACACCAATGATGAACTCACAGAAAGAGAAACTAAGAAAACAATCCCATTTACCATTGTGGCAAAAAAATTAAGATACCTAGGAATAAACTTAACCAAAGAAATAAAGGATCTATTCACAGAAAACTACAGGTCATTGAAAAAAGACATAAAGAAAGATATAAAAAAGTGGAAGCACATACCTTGTTCATGGATTGGAAGAATTAACATCATTAAAATGTCTATATTATCCAAAGCAATCTATAGATTCAATGCAATCCCCATCAAAATACCAACGACATACTTCACAGAACTAGAACAAATACTTCAAAAGTTCATATGGAACCAAGAAAGACCTTGAATAGCCACAGCAATCTTGAAAAGAACAACGTTGGAGGAATCACATTACCAGATTTCAGGTTATGCTACAAAGCCACTGTAATCAAAACAGCCTAGTAGATGTTTGATGGAGTCTTTAGGGTTTTCTATGTATAATATCATATCATTGGTGAATAATGACAGTTTCAATTCCTCCTTTCCAATTTGGATCCATTTTGAGTTTATTCTTGTGTATGGTGTAAGTTGATAGTCTAGTTTCATTTGTTTTGCTTGTAGCTCTCCAATCTTCCCAACGCCATTTATTAAAGAGGATATCTTTACTCCACTTTATGTTCTTGCCACCTTTGTCAAATATTAATTGAGCATATTGCCTTGGGTCCATTTCTGGGTTCTCTGCTCTGTTGCACTGGTCTATATGCCTGTTCTTGTGCCAGTACCAGGCTGTTTTGATTACAGTCACTTTATAGTATAACCTGAAATCTGGTAATGTAATCCCTTGAACTTTGTTTTTGTTTTTCAAGATTGCTGTGGCTATTCAAGGTCTTTTTTGGTTCCATATGAACTTTTGAAGTATTTGTTCTAGTTCTGTGAAATATGTCTTTCATATTTGGATGGGCAATGCATTGAATCTATAGATTGCTTTGGGTAGTACGGACATTTTAATGATGTTAATTCTTCTAATCCATGAACAAGGTATGTGCTTCCACTTTTTTATATCTTCCTTTATTTCTTTTTTTCAATGACCTGTAGTTTTCTGTGAAGATGTTCTTTACTTCTTTGGTTAAGTTTATTCCTAGGTATATATTTTTTTTTTCTGCAATGGTAAATGAGATTTTTTTTTAGTTTTTCTTTCTGTGAGTTCATTATTGCTGTGTAAGAACACCCTCAATTTTTTGTGTTAATTTTGTATCCTGCTATTTTGCCAAATTCACGTATTAAGTCTAGTAGATGCTTGATGGAGTATTTAGGGTTTTTTATGTATAATATCATATCATTGGTGAATAATGACAGTTTCAATTTCTCCTTTCCTATTTGGATCCCTTTTATTTTTTCTTCATGTGTAATTGCTGTGGCGAAGATTTCTAGTACTATGTTAAATAAAAGTGGCAAAAGTGCGTATCTTTGTCTTGTTCCTGTTCTTAAAGGAAAAGCTTTTAGTTTTTGCCCATTGAGTATGATGTTAGCTGTAGGTCTTTCATATATGTCCTTTATTATGTCGAGATATGATCCCTCTATTCCCCCATGCTGAGCATTTTTATCAGAAATAGGTGCTAATGCTTTTCCAGCATCTATTGATATGATCATGTGGTTTTTATCTTTCATTTTGTTTATGTGGTGTATCACATTTATTGATCTGGGAATGTTATACCAGCCTTGCATCCTAGGGATGAATCCCACTTGGTATGGTGAATAATTTTTTTTCATGTATTGCTTGATCTTATTTGCTAGTATTTTGGATTTTGACATCTATGTTCATCAGAGATATTGGCCATTAGTTTTTTTTCTTTGTTGTGTATTTTTCTGGTTTTGGGATTAGAATTACGCTGGCCTTGTGAAAGAAGTTTGAAAGTCTTTCTTCTTGAAATTTTTGGAATAGTTTGAGGAGAATGGGTGTTAATATTTCTTTGAATATTCACTAAAACTCCCTGTGAAGCCATCTGGGCCTGGGCTTATGTTTGCTGGGAGAATCTTGATTACATCTTCAATTTCCTTAGTTGTTATTGGTCTGTTCCAGTTTTCTATCTCTTCTCCATTCAGTTTTGGGAGACTGTTTCTAGAAATTTGTCCATTTTGTTTAGCGTGTCAAGTTTGTTGCCATATAATTGTTCATAGTATTTGTTAATGATCTTTTGTATTTCTGTGGTGTCAGTTGTTACTTCTCTTTTATTTCTGATTTTGTGTATTTGGGTTCTCTCTCCTTCTTTCTTGGTGTGTCTAGCTAAGGGTCTATCAATCTTGTTTATCTTTTTAAAAAAACCAGCTCTTTGTTTTATTGATCCTTTGAATTGTTTTTTGTTGTTGTTGTTGTTCTCCATGTTATTTATTTTTGCTCTAATCTTTACTATTTTTTTTCTTCTACTTACTCTGGAGTTATCTTTTTGTTTGCTTTCTAGTTCTTTAACTTGTGAGGTTAGATAGTCTATTAGAAATTTTTCTTGTTTTTCGAGGTAGGCCTGTAGTGTTATGAACTTCCCTCTCAGAACTGCTTTTGCTGTATCCCATAAATTTTGTGTTGTTGTATGTTCATTTTCATTGGTTTCCAGGAAGTTTTTAATCTCTTCTTTGGTCTCCATCATAACCCATTCATTGTTTAATAACATGCTATTTAGCCTCCATGTGTTCCAATGTCTTTGCATGTTCTTGTTGCAATTGATTTCTAGCTTCATGCCACTGTGATCTGAGAAGATGCTTGATATAATTTCAATCTTCTTTTAGTTGTAGAGACATAGTTTATGTCCTAACATGTGGTCTATATTTGAGACTGTCCCATGTACATTTGAGAAGAATGTGAATTTTGCACTTTTGGGGTATAATTCTCTGTAGCTATCTGTTAAATTTATTTGATCTAGCACTTAATTTAGAGTCTCTGTTTCCTTGTTAATTTTTTGTCTAGGTGATCTATCCAGTGATGTCACCAGGGTGTTGAAGTCCCCTGCTATGATTGTATTGCTATTGATTTCTCCTTTGTAGTCTTCCAGAAGATTTTAAATATATTTTGGTGCTCCTATATTGGGTGCATATATTTTAACAAGGTTATATCTTCCTGTTGGATAGGTCCTTTCAATATTATGTAGTGGCCTTCTTTGTCTCTAGTTATGACCTTAATTTTGAAATCTATTTTATCAGATATAAGTATTGATACCCCAGCTTTTTTTTCCTTTTCATTTGCTTGGAAGATTTTTTTTCCATCCCTTCATTTTCAAGCTATGTGAGTCTTTTTTTGTGAGGTAGGTCTCTTGTAAACAACATATATAATAGTCATGCTTTCTTTTCCAATCAGCTACTCTGTGTTTTTTTATTGAAGCATTCAATTCATTTACATTTAAGGTGATTATTGATATGTACTTATTTATTGCCATTTTTGTTTAGTGTGGTTATATTTTTCTTCCTATTTCTTCTACTAATTAAAGCAGTCCTTTTAACATTTCTTATAGTGCTGGTTTGGTGCTAATGTATTCCCTTAGCCTTTTTTTTTGTCTGGGAAGCTCTTTATTTGACCTTCTATTTTGAATGATAGCCTTGCTGGATAGACTAGTCTTGGGTTCAGATCCTTATTTTTCATGACCTTGATTTCTTCATGCCATTCCCTTCTGGCCTGTATTATTTCTGTTGAGAAGTCAGCTGAGAGCCTTATGGGGGTTCCTTTGTACATAACCTGTTGGTTATCTCTTGCTGCCTTAAGGATTCTCTCTTTGTCTTTAATTTTTGGCCTTTAAATTACTATTTGTCTTGGTGTGGGCCTATTTGGGTTCTTCTTACTTGGGGCTCTTCGTGCTTCATTTTTTTTTTTTTTTCCAGAGTGGAGCACAAATGCAGTCTCCTTCTACCACAAATTATACAGTCGAGTTTCCCACATTTGGAGAAATCTCAGGGATCAGCACATCGGAGTGAAATGGATAAGCCTCACCCTGAGAAAACCAGCTTCATGATCATGGTATCTTCCCTGCCAGGTAAGTATGTCTCTGTGCTTCTTGAACTTGAATGCCTTCTTCCTTCACCAAATTAGGGAAGTTTTCTGTCACTATGTCTTCAAATATATTCTCTAACTCTTGCTCATTTTCTTCTTCTTTGGCAACTCCTATGATGCAAGTATTATTACATTTACAGTTGTCCCACAGTTCTCTTAAGCTGTCTTCCTGTTTTTTAATAGTTTTTTCCTTTTGGTTTTCTGATTGATTGATTTTTTTCTACCCTGTCTTCTAGTTCACTGATCTGGTCCTCAGCTTCTGCTGTATAGTCCTTTTATGTGTTCTTTTTTTTATCCTCATTCAAGGACATTTTTGCATAGAGCATGAGGGAGAGAGAGAGAGAGAGAAACATCGATGTGAGAGAGACACACTAACTGGCTGCCACCAACACAACCCCAACCATGGTGGGGACAAACTGCAACCAAGTACATGCTCTTAGCGGTAACCAAACTGCTCTAACTGCTGAGCCAAACCAGCCAGGCTCCAAAGTGTTCTTTATTTCTGCTATGTCATTCTTTATTTCTTCTTAATGGTTTTCATTTCCAATTGGTTGATTTTCAATGTTTCTATGTCTTTATTCATGGTGTTGATGTCCTTACTCATGCTGTTGAGCTTATTCAAGATCATGGCTCTGAATTCTCTCTCTGATTGCTTTCTTAACTGCATTTCCTTTATCTCATCTTCGGTAGAGATCTGTTGTTCTTTTATTTGGGATTTGTTTCTTTGTTTCACCATTTTGGCTATCTCAGTGGGTTTTGGAGCCTGCCAAATCTCTCCCTGTGGGTATTGGTGTTCTGCTGTTTGTGGCTCCCTCTACTGAGTTTGGATGAGTGTGGGAAGACCCATGTTCAACACCACTGTCAAGTCTTACTTTCCTGGGTAGATTTGCAAGCCCAGGAAATGTTCAGTTATCCTATAGCTTTTTGTGGGGAGGCTGCTAGGCACGGATACTTGAAAAGCCTCAGTTTCTCATTTAAATGAAAAACTTCCTTAGATGTTCAGAGTAAAAGGATTTCCAGAGGGTGGGGCAGATTCTGGTTGTTAATGAGCCTCAATTTACATTTCAATGGCCCACCTGGGGGTGGTGGTGAATCTTTGAGGGAGGATCCACTGCCTCTCCCCAGAGCCCTGGTAAGGAGTAATATGGCCACCGTCCTGCATGGCCACAACTCATCAAAAGCTCTCTGCGCCCTCCAAATCCTGAGTGTCCCCCACAGTTCCAGTCCAGCCTGCTCTCCCTCTTCCAGAGCCCAAGGTGAGTGGCCATGGCTATTTTAGTGCTCTGTCCTGGCTCTCTGTGCTTTGGAGCTGCTTGGGACTTTAACCCCAAGGGTGCTGCTCACAGCTAAGACAGCTGCTGTCTGTGGGCTTCCAGCATCCGTCTTGCGCCTCTGCAATCCTACCAGGATTGATGCAGTGTCCCTCATTATATGGTCCTCACAAGCTGCTTTTCTATTTCTTTTTCCCAACAATTTGTCTTTATTTTAGTTGTAATTTCAATTTGGCACTGGGAGATGGTCTGTGTAGCTTCCATTCATTCTGCCGCCATTTTGGAATCTCTAATATGTCATTATTAAAACCCAATCTCTGTTTTTTTATTTTTCTGGTTCCAACTGATTTTCATTTGCCTAAGCAGCAGATGTGCTATGCTGGGGAATGAGAAAAGATCTGCAGTGAGGACACTAGAAGTCTTTATAGCTTCTGCTGTAAAACAGAATCACACACTCATCCAAGCATAGATTTTGTTCCCTTATCCCTTTCTTGGTAATTTATGGTATTGGACTCAAGCTACTCTGAAAATGCTGAAAAAAAAATAAAGCAAGATAATATTTTATGATTAGATATTCATTGTAGCCAAGGAATTTAAAATGTTTTAACAAGGTTATTTCAGTTCCCACTATATAGATAGTGAACTCAACAAAAACAAACAACAGTTCCTCACCTTTTACTGCTGAACCTCTTAGTAAAATCCTCAGCAGCCCTCAGACCTCATCCAGCTACAATGCTGAATGAATTTTGAATGCTGAATTCTTTGGAGGAGTGCGTCTATGTAAATGCAATAAATGCATTAATTTTTTTTTTAAGGAAATAGTGCCTTCTTTCAAGGCTTCCAAATAAGGGCTGGTCTCTAGAGGTCTAGGAGATATAAGGCAGGAAGCTAAGGCTCTAGCTGTACCCTGAGCCCTCCTTCTCCTGGAGCTGCCTCTTCTTGGTCTCCCTTCCTCCTTTGCTGAGGAAGAACAGATAGTCAGAGACCCTTATTGTGTTATCTTGCAAATCCCACACAGTGGCAGAGACACCCCAGAGAAAAACAACCCAACAGAGGCCAATATGCCAATCTCAGTCTGGACAAGCTCAAGGAATGGTTAGTGCTCAACCCTGTGTATCTTCTTGTCATATGCCATAGGAAGCATCATAATGCAGAAACTAAGCTACCTCTGACTTGCCCCATGATAAGTGTCTGATACAGAATTTATCAACAACATTGCTTCCAAAATTCTTTTTATGTCTTTATGTGATAACTGTATACATTGAAAGAAGACACAATCAAATGTATTTTTTTAAAGGCAATGGTAACTCATCCATCAATTTCATTAGAACAATCTTTAAAGCTATTAGGTTACAAGTTTTGTTTTGTTTTCCTTATGCAGACACTGAGGAAACTCCTACTGTCTTTACAACATAAGACTAACAGAATTAACATTAGTTCTTGCCAGCACTCTGTACCTTTCTAGTATTGTTAGGGTGGACGCAATTGTCTGCTGCAAAGCAGCTATTATTTTACATTATATATGTTCAATGGACACCTATAATGAGACAACTGTGGAAAATGAATGTTTGAACAACTCTATCCCATGTCATCAAATTTTAAAATGACTCAAACTTACTAATGCCTGTAGAAATCTGTGTCATCTAACAGTCCTTTTGATTTCTGTTCTTCCTCCAATGATCTGTTTTAACCAATTAATGTGTTTTCCTAACCATGTGTTTTAAATTGGCACATGGAATTCTATCTTACTTACAAGATTAGTTACATAGCAAGCAATTATTTGATTAAAATAAAAAGAAAATAGGATGCCCTATTCATTTAGGTGGTGGAGTAAGCTGACGTTATGCACCATCTGATATGATGTGATGTGAGATATCCAGCACCAACTAGAAATAGTTGTTTCTGAAAATGTTCATTCTGAATGTAGTCGAGACCTAAGTTGCACTTGCACTGTCTGGTACAGTAGCTAGTAGCCATGCGTGCGCACTGAGCACTTCAGTGTGACCTTTCCAAACTGAGATGTGGCGTAAGTATAAAGTACACTCCAGATTTCACAAAGACTTAGAATGAAAGTGAAAAAGAAAAGTAAAATAGCTCATTAATAATTATTATACTAATTACATGTTAAAATAATTAAAATTTTGCTCTAATAAGTTAAATAAGATGTATTATTAATTTTACCTGTTTCTTTTTACATATTTAATGTGGTAACTAGAAGGTTTTAAATCACAAATGTGACTCTCATTTGGGGCTCTCATTTTACATGTATTATAGAGTGCTTACACTCCACACTCCACTTCTAGTTTCTAGGAAATTAAGGAGAAAGAAAAGACACCAAGTTAAACATTTAGCCAAATCCAAAATGGAGAACAAACTGCAACAGAGTCCCATTGAGCAGAGTGCAGGTTGACTCTGCTGCTAATTTGCATAACTGTGTGTTGTCAGTCCACCACAAAACCAAGAATCTAAGTTAACTATGTGACATCTTACACACCCTGCTGCATGGTTCAGACGACATCATTCTCATAGCAATACTTAGTCAACAAAGAAAACTTCTCCTTTCATACTGGGGGAGGGGAAGACAACTATAAGACATTTAGGGACAATCTGGGAATTATGAATGTGTGCTGGAGCAAGAAGAAAATTATTTGTTTTTTCTCACTCCAGACCATACCTTTGAACTTCTTAAGGTAGGGCTTGAGGGAGACCCCAGTTAACTCTTCCTGGCTGAAATCTAGACTCAATGACTATAAGCCACCTGACAAGATATCTTATCTTGTGACTAGCCCATGGAGTACAAAAGTAGAAGCAGATCTAAATTTACTTACTTTTTAGTGGAATCATATTTCCCAAGAGTCCCCAAGCCTGGCCACCAATACTACGTGTTTGCTAAATCCCAAAAGCAACATCTAGACTCTATACTTATGTCAACAGAAAATGGGTCACTAAAAATGCAGCCTACAAAGGGACATCTACTATCTTGTTCATCTTAGGTAACTACAGAGGATAATGGACAAGAGAGATCCTCCCTGATTTAGAACCGAGAAAAGCCAGGCACTTGAATCCCTGGTCAAAGCATGGCTTTTCCTTCTGCCAGAGCCGGAAGCCCTTGCTAGTTTTGTCCAGTGTGATGTCAGATGGAGCAGTGACCCTGTTTGTTTCATACTTCCTATTTCCAATGGGGGAGGGTTTTTAACCTGTATTTTGAAAATTTTTAAACATATACAAAATAGAATAAATCATCCAATGCAATAATCATCAACATGTTGCTGAACTTTTCTCATGTCTGCCCCATTCTCTTTGATATAGTATTTTAAAGTCATTACCAGAGATCACATTATGTCATGTATAAATTAAGTGGGAATTCTTAACTTTTTCTATTGCACTAATCTTTCTCTGTGGATCACTGAATACTAAATTGTTTACAGTGATGATACTTTTCTAATAATTTATATTTTTTTAATTATGCAAGATCATTAAAATCTACATTACAGCCCTGGCTGGTGTGGTGTGGCTTAGTTGATTGGGCATCATCCCAGGCACCAAAAGGTTCCTGGTTCAATTTCCAGTCAAGGCACATGCCCAGGTTGTGGGAGGTGGCCCATTAATGCTCTGCTCTTGCATCAGTGTTTCTTTTTCTTTCTCTCTCAATCGCACACTTTCTTTCTCTCTAAAAACAGAAAAATAAAAGTATATGCCATTCACATAAGACAGCAGTTC